TATAAGAAACATACATGGATTTTGTGTTTAGACTAGGATCCTATCTCTAAGAAATAGATATATGCAAAGACGGTTATTCCAAGATCTAGAAAAAAAAAATCCCAAAGACGTCTGGTTCCAGAAGGGATAATCAACCTATATAATACTTTCAAGGAAGTTTGTTTTCAGAAAGGTGTTTAATAATTCAAATTAAAAGGCAAACAAAATAGAGGGAAGCAATTAAAAAATCAGAATCTAAACAACACAGAAAGAAACATCCCAAAGCTAGAAACCAATAGCAAGTTACAGGCAGTCCCCAAGTTATGAACAAGATAGATTCTGTAGTTTTGTTCTTAAGTTGAATCTGTGTGTAAAACAAGTACATTTTTGTTTTGCTGCTGTTCAGAAGATTTCACCTCACTTTCTGTCCGTGTGATAATTGGATTTTGAAAAATGTGGCTTGTTGTGGAAACAAGGATTGGTGATAAAGCTTTTCCCGTGATGACTCTTTCAGGGGTGAATTTCCCTTCCGTGGGGTAGATTTCTCCCACTTCCTGTTGTCTCACCCCATTTCTAATGGTGAGTCATTTGTAAGTTGGATGTTTGTGACTTGGGGGACTGCCTGTATTTTCTTGGTGGGCAATACAATAGTTACCAAGTACAACTGTACAATATAATGTATTGTGTAGTGGAACCCAAACAAGTCTGACAAATATTTATGATCAACATGTGAACGATATAAGTTTACCTGTCCAAATGTATTCTCCCCTATGAACCACCAAGACAATTAAGATCTTCTGGTGGGGCCCAGCTCTCAGTCCCTCCACTTTTGCAATTGTGTCTGGCGGGAACGAGAGATAGGGCCTTTTCTGTGGTGGCCCCTCAGCTATGGAACTTTCTCCCGATTGAGATCAGATCTACCCCCTTCCTCCTGTCCTTCAGGAAGCTGGTGAAATCCTGGCTATGGAAGGACGCATTCCCAGAGTAATGGTTGAAACCGGCTACAGAACAAAGTTATCGACCACATATATGGACTGAGTTGGACATGATTTTATCATGGCGATTTAGCTTATTTGTAATTTTAATCAATATGTATTTTAACTCGTTATTATATGATGTTTTTAGATTGTACTGTTAGCATTGAATCCTTGCTGTAAGCCGGCCTGAGTCCCTCTACGGAGGTTGAGAAGATTGGGATATAAAAGTTTTAAATAAATAAATAAATATAAATAATGATTCATCCCCAAATGAAGAGAGATGTGATAAGAAAAGTGCTCATTCTAAGATGTATGTGGTATCAGATTGCATGATTGTGGAATAGTGACTTCATGGGATAAATACTAATCCTTGGAAAACATCCCATAGAGGACATATGTATGTGCAAATCAACAATAAACTAGAAACAAAAATCATGTTTTCTTCCTGATGTGTTTTCAAGAATTTGAGAAAAAGATTCTGCCCAAAACTTGAGTTCTTTTGCTTTCTCAAACTAAGTGCAATCACATAATAAGCACAGAACTAAGTGCAATCACATAATAAGCACAGAAAGACTGGCAGGTGGATCAAAAAGATGCAACCAATCCCTCTGATCCTTCCAACTCTTAGAAGGCAGCTGTTGTATTAATAAATAAAATATATATCTCCAATTTGCAAGAATAGAGGAAAAATGAAATTTCCTGTTCATACATGCAATAATGAGACAAACAAGAATTCACTTCTGTAAGAAAAATGTCTTTGGTTGCATGAATACATCCACATCCATATTATATCAGGCATGAAAGGGTGGAAGGGAAGGAAGTAGAGAGGAAGAAAGAGGGAGGGAAGGATGAAGGAAAGAGAGAAGGAAGGAAGAATAGGCTGGTGAGAGAGAGAAGGGCCTGAGAAAGGAGCCCAAGGGGCCGCATTTGGTCCCTGGGCCTGGATTTACCCATACCTGCATTATATAATGATTCATACTTGTGTCCTAATAAATCTAGTCACACAGAAACATAGACAGATTTTCCACATGAAAAAAATTACCAGTTCCTGTCCAAAGCTGAAAGCAGGTGGTGTTTCACTGACAATCAGGACTTTATTTGCAATTCAGTTACAAGCTTTATGTGAAAACATCTCATCGGTTTTGTGAAGCAACTATAAATGTTACTCTGTTGGATGGAGGAAAAATTGCACAGATGCTGGCAGGTTTGGGATCAGAATCAAAAACAAAGGACTAATAAATGGAAAGAACGCACTTTCCATGATGACAGGTAGCAGATGGTTCACACTTTCCTGGTATTTGTATTTCCACTTTCATTGTGGACTAATTTTTTTCTCAGCTGGCCCTATATCTAAGACTGGAACAGGGTGCTGTAAGAGATGTTGATAATAATATTACATACATCAATATATTTGTCATTTACATCAAGCTTAGTAGTCATATGTTACAACAGCGACTAACTCTAAAGTTAGTCCCAACTTGTGGCTGATTGGAATTTATTCCTCAATTGAAGGAGGCCCTTTAGTTGCTGCCCCGAAGCATGGTAGAGTCTTCCTCTCTAAGGTTTTTAAATAGAGATTGGATGGTCATATGTCAGGAAACCTTTGATTGTGTGCTCCTGCATGGCTGAATTGGGTTGGACTGGTTATTCTGCCATGCAGTTCAACCATTTGCAAATTCTGCGCACAAAAAATCCCAAATTGCAGCCTGTTTTGCATTTTCTGTGCAAGAAAGAATGTGCTGTGTTTAGCATAAAACAAATGTTGCACAAATTTGTGCAGTATAAGCCAAGTTGTGAAGATTTTCATTGCTCCTTGACATGCTTTATCAACCAGTTTAAAAATATTATTTCTATATTTTTTTGGGTTTTTTTGTTCTTGCATTCAATAATAACATAAGCGAAGTTTTGAATCCCTAGATAGAATACCACAAACAATTCCAAGATCTGAGTAACAGAGAATACCACAAAAAACCGAATAAAGTCTTCAGTTTGCTTGATTTTTGACACAAAAATGCACAACTTTTAACTACCTTTGAGCAAAATAGCCTTCTTTATTATATACTGAACCTTTGTTAAACCCAAAACGTATAACAGGCAACATTAAGGCACAAGCACACACACACACACATTCATGGGCATGATGTATTTGAAAGGCTTTAAAAAAACAGCAGTAAAACATGGAACCAGTCATAATACTTAAATTAACAGGGAAACAAATGCATTACTTACAAAACAAAAGTGTCTGAAAGAGCAGTGGAATTATGAACACCTTAAATAAAACATTCCTATGAAGTGGCTCTTGCAAACAAAATGCTTAACATGACAAACTAATGCTTAGTCTTCTACAAAACCTTTTATTTGCACTCTGCCCCTAAGATTATTTAATTCCATTTGCAAAACAGCTTCCCTGAATATATATACACACACACACATACACACACACATACATACATATATTGCAAAAAGGTTGAATCTAACTTTGATTTTGTCTGCCTTTCTTTCTCTGCCATCTATATTATACCAGGAAAATTCACATGGAAGCAATTATCCTAGGAGAAATAGAAGAAAGATATAGAATAAATAAAATAGTGAAATCTGAACTTCACCATGAAATAAAAGGCAAGGAATCAAAAGTCAGAAAGGGAATAAGAAGCCACAGAAATCTGTATTTACTGTGACACTGCATCCCTATCTGGCTGGGGCTCAACTCACATTAATTGCCAATTAAAGGGCTCATTAAACCATACCCAACCTCTGCTGTTTTTTGGATAAACCAAGTGTGTCTTGCAATTTGATCTAATGGTCTAGTTTTAAGAAATTATCACCCCCTCCTTTCTCACCTTTTAAAGACATTTTACCATGACCACATAGACACAATCCCATGATGAATTCTGGTCTGTCCATTTCCAGAGAGACGAAGTCCCCTAGGCAAATTAAATATAGAAATATGATTTTACTCCATATGTGACTATGTTTACTAAGGATTTGTGATCCATTAAAATGGTTCAAAAGTCATTACAAAACTGGGGGTGCTAACCCTACTTTAGCATTTAGTGTTTCACTAACTATACTTTAGTATTTCCAAAGTATAGTTAGTGGTAAATTCATTATTATAATGAGAGTAATGAAATTTCATTACTATTTCATTAAAGTAATTGTGTATAATTAAATTACTATAATTGGGGAAACTTCTGGTGTGCCTTTCTTTGTCATTTTTACAGCTATTGGGGTGAAACTCATTACAGTGGTAGAACACATTTACCACCCTTAGCCCACCAAAGTTCAGAACATTTCACTTATCCACAAATTTTTGGGGAACTTTTAAAGTATTTATAAACATTTTTTAATAATAAAGGAAATATGTTCCTAGTCTGACAGTATTATTTCCTGTTTAACTTTGTAGTCCTTACTTTGAAAGTTGTGATTCTACACTGGGAACTTTTGCACCAAAACAAATTGTCAAATGGGTGGACTGGATAGCAAAATGTGTTATAACACAATGCCCCTCGGGCAAAGACAAAGTTTTTGCAGTTTAATAAACTTTCACCATGTTTTTATGATAGAACCAATTAGGAAATGACATTTATAACTCAGGAACAAAAACATAATGCACTAGCTGTGCCCTGCCACACGTTGCTGTGGCCTATAGTAAAACTTATCAAAGTTGAGGTAGATATCTGGACTATTATGAAAGAGAGGTACCTCCTTCCCCCTTTTCCTCCCCCTTTCTCTCCTTTCTTCCTTCTCTACCACTTTCCTTCTTTCCTTCTTTCACTACTTGGTTTAATCCTTCCCTCTTTCCTTCATTCCCTCCCCCTTTCTTCCTTTGCCTTTCTTCCCTCCCTGTTTGCTTTCTTCTTTCTCTTTTTATTTCCTTTTATTTCACCACCATCATAACAATAACAATAATGCAATGCATTGCCTCTGGGACCTGACACCTCTCCCATTCCCCCAGGGTCTAATAGGAATAATAGCATAATAATAATAGAAATAACAACCTTTACCCGCCACGTGTTGCTGTGGCCAACCTTCCCTCTTTCTCTCCTTCTTTCCCTCCTTCCTTCCTTCCTTCCCTCCCATCTTTCCTTCTCCTCTTCCTTCTCTATCTCTTTCCTTCCCCCTTTTTCTTTCTCTTCTGGTCTCTTTTCTTCCTTCTCTCTTTCCTTCTTTCCTTCCCTCCCTCTTTCTCTACATCTTCCCCCTTCCTTCACTCCCTCTTTCCTTCCTTCATTCCCTTTTTTCTTCTCTCCTTCCTTCCTTCCCCCTTTTTCTTTCTCTTCTGGTCTCTTTTCTTCCTTCTCTCTTTCCTTCTTTCCTTCCCTCCCTCTTTCTCTACATCTTCGCCCTTCCTTCACTCCCTCTTTCCTTCCTTCATTCCCTTTTTTCTTTCCTTCTCTCCTTCCTTCCTTCCCCCTTTTTCTTTCCCTCCCTCTGTCTCTCATTTCTTCCTTCTCTACCTCTTTCCTTCCTTCCCCCTTTTTCTTTCTCTTCTGCTGTCTCTCTTTTCTTTCCTTCCATCTTTCCTTTTCTTTCCTTTTCTTCTTCCTTCTTTCTCTAACTTTCCTTCCTTCCCCCTTTTTCTTTACCTCCTTTCTCTTTCTTCCTTCTTTCCTTCCTTCCTTACCTCCCCTTCTCTTTCTTCCTTCTTTCCTTCCTTCCTGTCTTTCCTGGATTTTGACAGGGCGGGAAGGGGCGGGGTGGGGTTTGGAGGTGGCATGAAGTAAAAGGAGGTAAGATTGGGGCAGGGGAGTGATGGAGCGTGGGGTTGTGTGTGTGTGTGGCGGCGGGGGGAGTGATGGAGCGTGGGGTTGCGTGTGTGTGTGCGGCGGCGGGGGGAGTGGGGTTGCATGTGTTGTGTTATGGGCATGGGAATCTTGGTTGAGTTTCGTTGGGGGGTTTTAGAGTTTTGCTGTCCCGTTGAACCCACCTAACAGATTTATATATATAGATTGGAACTCTAGTTGGCTATGGAGGGACAAATCTCTCTAATGCTAAGTAGTGCACTGCATTCTGGGAAATGTCGTTTAGGGCAGGGTCTTTTGAATTCTTTGGCATAGGGCTCATCCCTTCCCAAACTATCTTTCCCAGAATCCTGTGTTGTTCCCAGAAAACACTGCTCCCTCTTTTCCCCACTCCTAAGAATAAGGAGCCATTAATTTACAGATGAAAGGCAAGGCACTAAGGCAGCCCTTTTGGCTTTGATTTTTCAGGTTTGCTTCCTTGGACTGAATATGGAATGGAATTAGGAGTCTTCTGAGATTTACAAAACTGAAATGAAAAAAATATGGGGTAAGTTTTGATTCTTAATTTTTTGGCATGGGCCATGCCCATGTAGCAGATATTACCTCATAAGTGCAAATGTGATCCAAATTATGAGGACTAATGAAAAAATGCACATCCCTAATGTTTAAAAAGGCCACAGTGTTCAGATGTCGAAATGAATTTTTGATAAGAAATGAACCATTGCAACTCAGCACATTTGCTGGCATCATGCAATTGTGATGTTATGGCAATCAATAATAATAATAACAATAACAACTATTTTTACTGTTATTAGCTAGCTCCAATTAGTAATCTGGTGGCAGGGTGCAAATAAAAAAATATTAATTTATTATTATTTTACAGAGCCTGTGATTGGCAAATGTCACCACAGAAGTGCCTTGACTCACCATACAAGATAAGTCCTGTGGTGATTGTGTGATTAAATGCTATTTATAGGCTTAGCTCATCAGGTATTTTTTATAGGCTTGAGAGTTTTTATGCATACATGTGCCCTCTAGATGTTTTGGAATACAAATTTCCAGCCCTCACCAAACTGGTCAGGCTTTATGAAAAATGTAGTTCTAAAAATTCGAAGGGCAACAGATTGGGAGAGGCCTGGATAAAGCAATATAAAAGAACGGAAATTGCCTAAGGACATATTGGCTAATTATGCAGTTTCCACAGTCATGATTTTATTATGAAACCTGGAACCTTGTTTTGATTAATATATCCTGATTAATCTTTTAAGAAGATTTTTTAAATTAAAACTTTGAGTATATGTTACCAATATTTGAATAGTTCCAAGAATATTGTACAGGCAGGATTGGTGATTGTGTGATCCTATAGTTGTTATTGGAGCCCCTGGTGGTGCAATAGGTTAAACCCTTTTGCCAGCAGCACTGCTGACTGAAAGGTCGGCAGTTTGAATCCAGGGTGTAGGGTGAGCTCCTGTCTGTTGGCTCCAACTTCTCATGCAAGGACATGAGAGAAGCATCCCACAGGATGGTAAAACATGTGGGTGTCCCCTGGGTAATGTCCTTGCAGATGGCCAATTCTCTCACATCAGAAGCGACTTATCGTTTTTGAGTCAAAAAGTGGACTATAACTCCTATCTATCCCGGCCAGTGTTACCAATAGTGAGGACAATGGGTTTTGTAGTGCAATGTTATCTGAGCTGAATCTCTATTACAATTCATTTACAAAGCCTAATTCAATCTCCCTATTGTGTCTGACAGCTTACTGGGAATTGGGGTTTCTTCTTAGGAACTGCAAAAAACAAGAGTATTTGGGGGATTATTGCAGAGATTAAAATATGTTTGTAAAAGTTTCCAGATTAAAAAAAAATGAAAAGAATGCAGAAGAACTATTGTAATATTATTCAATAAATTTAGATATTTTTCATTCTTATATGCAAGAACAATATAAGCAAAGATCCATATTTCCAAGTTTGAGGCAAATTATGGGGAGATAGGAGGCAGGAGAGTGTATTGTACCATTGACCAGTGATTGGCAGCATTCTAGTTCTGGATAAATTAATTTTAAATTATTTGTTAAATGAATAAGGTAATGCAGTTTTTACATAATTATTGAGAAAATGAACCATCACAAGGAACTAGTTTTGTCACTAATTACTAGTATCTAATTAATTTCAAACAGCCTTCTCTGGGGAATGGAAGAATGAGGAGGCACATAAGCCTGAACCCTTTACTTGCCGCTCCTTGGAGTTTCGTGTGTACATGTGTGAATACTGTTCCATTACTTCTACAGTAAAAGGTGTTGTCTTTTAGTCATTTGCAGATTGTCTGCCCTCCAGTCTTGATTTATTTCCAGATACCAAAAATAGAAGAAAAACATCAGGACCTGAATTTGCTCCCTCTTAATGAAGAGTGCAACCCTGTGTTCATCTGAGACAGGAATTACAGCACTGGGAGTTCAATCAAAAAGTGTTACATGACTGTCAATTTAACTTTTAACATCTCTTCCCCCAATTAAGCTGTCCAGGCCTCACACTCAAATAGCAATCCACATCTGCTGGCAGTTGATTTATCCCCCGATGATGGCTGGATCTGTTGTTCAAAACTGGGAAGACTTCAAGTGGAATTTTAAATATCCGCCAGCTGCTGCAGCACTGTGGATTCAGAGGGACATCACTGAGTGAATAGGAGGGAAGGAAAAATAGGAAGACTCCTTTTGTTTTAGAATCATTTCTGATCTGAAGTACTCTGACTTAGCCACCCTAAAGCACCCCTACTTTTTCAATGTAAAGACAAGGGGACTATATTGTTTCGAAACCATTATTTGTCATCAGCAATGGATTGGATGAGGGCAAACAAATTGAAACTTAAATCAGTGCTCCTGGTCAGTTGGAAGACAGATCAGGGAATAGTGATTTAGCCTGTATTGAATAGGGTTACACACTCTCTGAAATCTCAGATTCAAAGCTTGGATGTGCTAAGGTGTTCAACTCTTGAGTCTGGTAGCCAAGGTTTCAGTAGTGGTAAGAAATGCTTTTTAGCACTTAAATATTGCCTGCCAGCTGTGACATTCCATGGGACATCAGATCTGGCAATGGTATCACATGTCTTCAAGTACATCTACACTGACTACTTAGGTCAGTTTGGAGCTGGATTAGGAAAAACTGGTTTGCTGTGTGAATGACTAGATTGACTTGACAGGAAACGTTTGAAGCCAAAAAGGTGATTTTATTAACCACAGAAGCTGGTCTCAAGCCAGTTCTAGAATCTACAGTATTTTTTTTTTCAATTTCTGGGAGAGATGCACACTAGTGCTCTGGAGGCATAAGAGGCAGGGAGAAAAAAGAGGAACTTTAGCTATGGAGGAAATCAGTTCTTTGTCCCAGAGACTCAATTTGCTTCCTATTGACCAGCTATTAGAGTTGTTTGCGGAACCATTTTTCTTTGTTTCATCTGCACTTTCATTACTTTCGTTAACTTCAGGAGCATGTAATGGGAAGCCCCCTCCAAGTAGGAAAATTAGCTTGACACGAAAGCAAGCAGGAGCTGATCCTGGCTCCTTGTCTGCTTTTTGTGAGTACTTGGCATTCCATGCCTCCCTGCCTGGGAAAGAGAGTGCATTTGTGTGTGGTGTGCAGACTGAGAAAGCATGTGCGCCTGCCTGCAACTGAGTACCTCCTCTAGAGTAAGAATGAGAAGTTGCCTCTTTGCCTTGGAAAGAGAGAGTGTACGTGTGTGGCATGCAGGCCCTGAAAGCGTCCACGCCAGCCTGCAGCTGAGCACCTCTCCTCTAGAGTAGAAACAGGTAAGAAGACTCCTTAAAGCACATGCCTGCCTGCATCTGAGTACCTCTGCTCTAAAGTAAAACAGGTTCAATGAGAAAAATGATGGCAAGGGGAGCCTGGAAAGCCCCTCCCCCCCCATAATGGGTTTATTGAAAATGGATCTTTCAGCACCCCAGAGTGAAAACAGATATCTGTCCTCCTGATTTCAGGAGGCTCCCAAAAATGTATCAGCTATGCTCTTGGAGTGTTTTTCAGTGCCCTGCTGCCCCTGTATTCCAGATTTTTCAAAGTAGTCCAGTGTTTGTGTGTGTGTGTGTGTGTGTGGGGGGGATGTCTCTAAAGCACTTTGCATTCTGCAGAGCTAATTTTTCTGTGTGATGTAGTTTAGATTTAGGTCTCACTGAAGTGCATTAAGGGGTTTAACTCAACCCCCCCTCACTTTGCTTGATACCCTGCAGTGTGTTTTGATAGTTTGCATTTTGTACTTGCTGCTGCAGTTTGAAATTGGCTTCAAGCCACATTTAATGTTCAGTGTAGATGTGCCCTTAGTTACATCCTGTCTGGATGGCAACTTGTGGTTTCCTTTGAAGAGTGTTTGGAAACATCAACTGTTCCAAATAGCTACCGTTAGATGGCTAACTAGGACTGACTACAGGGATCACTGGACTCCCTTGCTGCAACAGCTCCACTGACTGCTGTTTATCATGCTTAAAGTCCTACATACATAGCTCTGGTCCAGGTTATTTGAAGGGCTGTATTCTCTGCTACGAAGCAGCTCATTCTTCAAGATATGTTGATGAGAGCTTTATCTCTGTCCCACTATATTCACAGGTACATATGGTGGGAACATGGGAGAGGGTCTTCTCAGTGGCTGCCCTCAAACTCTGGAGCCACATAACCAGAGAAGTTAAACTGACAACCTCCCTAATTTCTTTTCACAGACAAGTTAACACTCTTCTATACTTACAAATATTTGACAAATGACTATATGAATCCTGTCTTACACAATGTGATAGATATGTGTGCTAATTGTCATGCTTATATCTGTGTGCGTGAGATAGAATTTATTGACAAATGATTTAATTTGCTTTTCATTTTTGATTGTTTGATCTTGTTTTAACCTTTTTGTTTGATTGATAGTGTTTTAACTTTTGCATCATGTGGATTTTGAATGATGCCTTTTTTTCATTGTTGTAAACTCTTTTGAGTCCTGATCTCTAGAAAAGGTAGATTAGAGTTGAAGAGGAGAAAGTCTATCTGCAAATGTATTCAAA